CAAAAAGCAAAAAGCAAGAAGCAAATACCAGCAAGCAGAACCAGAGAGAAGAGCAGTAGGCACCACACATGATCAGGAACCACAGAAACGAAAAATAAAATAAAAAAAATAAAAAAGAAACAAAAAAATTCCTTTAAAAAATAGGCCCCCATTTGAAAGGCCTTAAGCTCCATGTAGCTATCAGCCAGCTCACATTCTGAGCTTCTGGAGATAAACCTGACAGAGAAGGATAGATCCATTTGTGCCAGCAGCTATGCCCTATACCTGTCCACGCCTCCATCTTCCGCCCTGCTCGGCAACAGCTTCTGCACGGGCTGGGAGACCTCATATGCAATTCACCCCTGATTGTGCGCTGTCGTTCAGTTGCTATGCTGCTTCAGCAGTTGCCCTCGCTGGCATGAACCCGAGCAACTGTGCGCTGGACTGGTTGGAAGTGCCTTGATCTCCTCCACAAGGGGCAGGACCATGGCGAACAGAGCCAGTAGATTTGAAGTGGACTTCTTGCGATGTAGAGTTTTTCCCATCAAGGCCAATCTGGCTCTGGGCGAACTAACCCTCTAGTGACTTTCCTCCATGGCACTGAGCTGATGTGCCCAAGAACGGGTGAAGTAGCTCCTCTGCATTTCATTGAGCCGAAGGGCCTCCGGCTTGACCAGATTTTTTCTGGCACCCGAAAGGGCATCCACATTTCATATGATTCTCTGCGGATACGCGCTGCGCATCTTGAACAGGTTCCAGCGCAGAAGCACACTGCAAAAGAAGTCACAGGCGGGATTCCGTGCGCACTCTTTTGAATCGATGGCACATGCAGGGCACCAATTGGCGCTTCAGTCAGCAGAGGTCTTGTCGACTCAAGATTAAAGGCTTTACATGCACGAAAGTACGAAGCCCTTATTGGTCACTGCTTTTGCAAGAGGCACACAAGCTCAATTGTCACCCACAAGGCTCTGCTGATATGTCCAGGCATTATCACTTGCACAGCTTGGGGCCATCAGGTTAGCACCCACACGCCAAGGCGGTAGCCTGGGCTGTATGCAAGGTGTCCTTATGCACGTCTTCAATCTGCCTTGTGCTTATGCCTCTATGCCATGAAGAATATTCTTGGCACCCGACCGACACTGATCAGGAGCAGAGTCAGCACCAGGGTGGTGGGGATTCCGGCCTTCTATTCACATTCAGAAAGCCAACATGACTCCCAACCAAAAACTGAAGTCCAACCAAGCCATGCGTTCACAAACTTGCATGTGGAGGCGCTGGCCATGAGAAAGTGCTTCACGGACAGCCAGGGCTTGCCACGGTCGTCGACTGCTATCAGGGAGTTCACCTACACACAGCCATCTCACGCAACATCAGGTTGAGGTTCTGCTGGTTTTAGGATCAGGTGGGATCCGCAAGGGCGGGACCATGCTTTGGTTTGAGATGTACCGCCCGCTATGACAATGTGAGGAGTTAAACTGCCAGAGCAAACGACGCGCTTGCAAAAAGGCGAACCACCTGTTTGCACTGGGTATCAGGAAACAGATTGATTCGAGTTGTCGAGTCGTCAGTCCACTGAGCAGCGAGCGTTCGGGAAGCTGGTCATAGGCAGGGCGCAGGCTGCCGAGCAAGCAAAAGCCTCAAGAATGTCTATGCCCCGAAGACATGCTGGCAGTCGCATGTTTGCTCCCAGACTGTCACATGTACGGGAAGAACACATTCTGGATATCGTCTCCTGTGCGTCACCCAGATGAGGATCCTGCACCAAGCAACACTGCCAACCGCTCGACGCCGGCTTCCTCGCCCAGCTCAACAACCTCCAAGCATGCAGCTGGCCCGTGACAACCGTCACTGCTCTTCCAGTTGACCAACTCAGTCGGTGGCCAATGGCATCAGCACAAGTGCGGCAACCTCTGAAAAAGATCTAGCCACACTCCTCTCAAGATAGAACACTTGATTAAGTCTGCTGACGGTGTGCGACACGAACGTTGTCGCGCCCACCAGCACCTTGGAAGCAAGCCCTGCCAAATCCTGCTGCTGACACTAGAATTGCAAGCCCCTAGTAGCCGCAGCTCTTAGGTGCACTGTCCCAGACATTATTGAGGTCCCTGCCAGGATGAGTTCTGCCACCAGTGGCCAAGGGGAAGACGACAGGCCACTGCCCAAATCAGAAGCACTTAGCCGATCACCACCCGCCTAGATTCTGATGATGTGGAAATGGCTACAGTCGGACCTTTTGACAATCTCCGTAACAAGCTTCAGTAGTCCGCTCTCGCGCACCGCCAGGCCTCATGCTCCGAACACCCCCCCCATTCAGCTGACATGGACATGAAAGGGTCGGGCCTAGAGCACTACCGCCCCCGATGAGGAACAGAAGATGCCAGCTGTAGGAATTGAACGTCTGCCTGGCCACTTTGCCTGACACCCTTTCTGCTGCATCAAGTGCCCAGGCGCGGACCGAGAGATTCCGCCAGTCCCCAAGCATATTGCCTCCAAAGTCATTGCTGTTTTGTGTCTAGTAGAGCTTAGCTGTAGCTAACAAGCATTGAGGTCGTATCACTTGGGGTCCTGCCACGAAGAGCAGTGCTATGGAAGATGTGCCCCCGAAGGCTTCAGCTGCCTTGTCCACGCTTGCAGGATTTTTGACATCAAGGCATGTTAGTTAACAAGACGGGTTTAAAGCAACGGAGGGCCGCGGACTGGCCGCGGACAGGCCCTGTGCTGAAAAGTTCAGACTCATCTCTGCAAAACTCCGTCCGGCCGCTTTTTCCCAACATCATAATAGAAACCATATTTGCCAAGCAAATTTGAGAAAGCTTCAAGATGATGAGGTCGTCAAAAAAATCACAATCACAGGTCTTTGCACAAGGCTTAGATTTGTCAATATGCTGTCATGCCGAGCGCATCTCCCCATCGACAGAAGTGCAGCTCACTGCAAATTAGGTTGTCTGCAAAGCAACACTAAAGCTGCCGTGAGGCTGGCAGCAAAGCATGCTGCAGGAATGTAAACTGCCCATGCAAAGATTGGCGCATGCAGCCCTCAACTTGACATCCCAGGCTTCACATTCAGGCCCTGGCTTCCGCATTGGCCTTAGAGAGTCAGGTGTGCGGCACCTCGCCTAACGCTGGCCTCTGCAGAGTTTTCGCATCTCCAAGTGGCACACGAATGCGGCCAGGGTGATGACTGCCCCCGTGAAGAGGATCAGCTTTTCCCATGAAAGGTCCTGACCAGTGGAACTTGCTTGCGTTGCGACACCCCCTTGAATCGCATTCTGCCTCGCGATCGAAGACCACAGGGGGTATGCCACCTGAGTGTCACGCAAGCCGCAACTACAAGTCCCAGACGATTAGCTCTGCAAACAGTCAATGAGTCACGTCTCCAAGATTGCCCCCAAGGCCTCTGGCGGGACGACATGTCACCGTTGCGAAGTAAGCGGGCAGCCTGCGTTCTCTTGTTCATGACTGACTGCTTATGAGGGATCATACCTTGCATCCTCACGCTGATCGTGGGCACCTTTAACTACCTTAAGCTTAGAGGCAACTTAAAACCATTTCCTGTCATAGAACCTGGGCTCGAGCAGAAGCATCGTCTGACAGAGAAGCAACATGACAACTTGCTCTGCCATTTTGACAGGGCCTCGTCCGGGGAGACGTCAAACTGATAGACCAGCAAAAGCCTGGCAGTCATCTTGCCAGTTCGGAGACCACTGCACTGGCAATCTTGCCGGATAGCATGGGGGATGCTTTTTTCGGTACCAGTGAAAGCCTTGCCGAGTAGACCGGAACACCGAAAGCTGCCAGCAAATCAGGCCAAGGCGACAGGAGCCAAGCTATGACGACAGCCAGGCAGCAGAAAGGCGTGCTCAGGCTCAACCTGGATTGTCGAAGGCCAACATGAACATGAGCTCCGAAACTCCCAGATCTCGGAGCCAGGATCCAAGCCACTCCCCCCAAGTGATGTTTTTGCCGTGCTGCCGCAAGGCCTTGCATCCCGTACTAGTACAAGCTCACAAACGGCGCGTTCGCTTGCAACTTCTGTATGATGAAGCCTCCAGCGATGCCACGTTTTGAGGAGACGAGATAGGCGTCATCATGCCGCCCACCTAGACTTGTACAGGTAGCCCTACAGAGGGGGAGGCGATTCCACTCCGCCGGAGTCGCAGCTGAGCACTTGGCATTACACGAAAAAGCAAGTCCCAGCAGCAGCGCTCGAGAATAGCGGCCTAAGTCAACTGAGCGCGCGAACCGCCGCAATAAGTCCCAGCCACAGGTTCACAAGTTTTGAACCTTCGGGGGCCGGACTGTCCGTAGGAAGATCCCGTATGAGTGGCTTAAGCACTTCCACCATGAGAAGTGGAGCCGTCACCTCGCTGTGAAAAGTTTGAAGGCTTCTTTCAAAAGCCTGGGCCTGCTCTGCAGCAGTTCTAGGTTCTACACTTCTACACGCAACGGCCTCGGTTTCTGCGCCGCCTCATACGCCGCTCTCGTTCTGTGCTCACCATAGCTGTTCAATTGTGGGTCATTAGCTTTTTGCACTGGCGTTGCTTGCGCTGTTGCAATGGCAGGCATCGGAATTCGCACGATGAGATCTAAGTCTCTGATGTTCCTGCCGCTTCCACCCGTGTCAGTTGCTGGCTTGTTGAACGCACACGCAGTTCATAGGGCCTTGAGGCCTACTGAATAGCCGGAGCACACCGCAGCATATAGCTTAAAAGCACAGCAGGAACGCACATCATGTTCTTGTTTACTTGTCACTTCTGGCCCTCTGGCTAGCTTGGCTTGGATCTTGAATTTAACTTGAGCACGGGTGCATGCTTGCAGGGTTGCCCTCCGTTGGATACGAAACCAGGGGCGGCACGTTGGACAGCAGCGCAGATAGGAAGACACCTTAATTCGCACGAAAAGAAAAATGATTCGCAAGGCTCTTCTGAACCTTCAAAATATGCCCGTCTCACACAGACAGGGGGCCACACCCAAGACCATTATGGCCAGCATGAAGCACTTTGGCCTCCCAGCATGCCGAACTTGCTTCTTCCAGCAGATCCATTCCTGGGAGCGTACCTCTGCCCCAGAAAACTCTGCAATCGAGCTGCAGCGCCTCTTATTATCAACTCTCCATCAGACTGTGGCACTTCTAAGAGGTACTTGCAGTTCTGTTGCCAGAGATTCTTGCAGCTGCTGATTTCTACCTCAACCACAGATCTTCAAGGATCCTGGCGCAGCTCAAGCTGGCACTTGGAGAAAATGGAGCTCATGACGAAGCCCGACAGCACTAAGTACAAGGAGTCCTGGCAAGGCTGTCGCAAGCCTTTGCTACGTTCTGCATGTTACAGGAGACTTCGAACCTGGGGCCCTTTGCACAGTCTACACTGAGTCTACACACTGAGATCAACGTCTTGAGACCACGGGCCGGGAGGACTTAGCTGGCAGAAGGAGGATAGGCAGCGCTTGCAAAAAAAAAATGCAACTCTTGCGGGGCCCTTCGCACTGTTTCGTGACATTCTCAGCCTCTCCTGATGCTGCCAAGTAGAAACTGCCAGTCGGCAAAGTCATCACAAGCTACTGAGGCGCAAAGTCCATCTAATTTCATTAGTTCTTAGCGTATCTCAACGACATCGGACACTATCACACACCTGGATAAACTGATGTTCTTGTCTGAAGGTTAACATGTCATGTCTCTGAATACACGAAGGCTTCTATTCAGCTGAGAATTCCAATCCAATTGAATGCAAACTGTTTCACCAACTGCCCAAACTGGTGGAAAACATGCAGGCAGATCATTGAAGACGGCACCCAACAGCTGCTTGGCCTGCAAAGTCGGACTCACAGTACACGCTGGCGTCAAAGAAGCTGCTTCATCAGCCGTAGATTTCCAAGCACGCTTCGGCAAGGACTTGCCCAGCAGGGCCCAGCATGGCCCAGCCTGCTCGCGGCGGTCGCCCTCCATGACATCCAGGCACGCGGCCAAGGGTGCCACGAGCCTGGCAAGGCCGAATGATTGGCCTGATATGGCCTGATGACAAGGACAAGACATGTGCCACATTGATGAAACCGGCTGCATACGTGATGGCACTCTTGAGACGACGCCGGAATCACTTCAAAACATGGAGGAGCAACATGGCTGTCGCTTCGAACGGAGCTGCCTCAAGGACCTGCTGACAGAGCTGAGCAGCTCACAGGTGTGAGTTCACCCTCCCAGGAAGTGCTTCACTTGGATGAAGCAATAAGATTCCATTATAGTCTAAGAGTCTATGATACTACGTCACAGATTCATTGGCTGGCAAGTTTTTGGGGAACCCAGTTGTCTTTGCATCTTGCAGATGGCGAGGACCCTCAAACATGCGTCAACGAAACATTAGCCCTACACACTTGCTAGCATGCCAGTGTCAAGAACTCCATTTTCGAGACATCAACATCAACGTCTGAGTCTGCGGCCCACATGAGCATGGTGAAGATCAGCAAGCCAAGGCAGCGTTGACACTTCGGCTCCCCGGACAGCCGGAATTCAGACCTGAATGTCAGGGAGGGACCCCCTGGATGCCATTACTTCGCATAGCCCATATGTAATCCATAGCTGCTATTTTCCACAAACCCATGGTTAACTACTGGGTGTACGGCTCGTTAAGTGCCGTGAAGGATGTGAGTAATGGAACTGTGTCATTTCATAGCGCGTTTATGAGTTCAACATTTTTCGTCGGAAATCTGCTTTTGCGTTCTTCTAAGCCCATATACTCTTGCAGTTCGTTTAAGACTGGAATGGAAGGAAACAGCTCATAGGGAATCCTAATCCCCACCCCTAGTTCTAGCTTCCTTTCGTGATGTCGCGCTCACAGATTCCCCTGCCTACCCAGGCCTTCAGGTGATCATAGGCTAACAAATGATCTCAAAGAAGCGGAGCAGATACAGTCTGCACACCACTGGGGATGTGGCCACTTCAGCGACAGACCGGCAATTACCAGCGCCACAAACGTTCGCCGCCTAAAACATAACTGTTGGGGCAGAGGGTTGCGGCTGCGGGAAACTGTCATGTGCCTGGGCTCCAAGCCAGGACCACGGCATGATCGAGAGCCCGACCCCGCCAGACTCCATGGCCTTTAGGCAAGAGAGGGAGAATCCAGTGTCCCACAAGTTTGAGAACGTGACTGGCTGGCCTTTTGAGTCTTTCCTAGAATGCCCTCATCTCTACTCGTACCCGGAAGTTCATGATCCAGTCCGGGCTGGATTGAAAAGTCTAGACTTGGACCCGTGTCACTACTTGGGCTTCCTGGCGTCGATACAAGTTCACACTCGGCCCGATTCTGCAATTGCTAGTCCAATTACTATTACTATGCTTATAAATCATCATTACCATTGCGTATATAAGAATATCTTACATGGTATGTTGCAATGCAGGTCCTTGTTCTACTATAAGATGCCTTGTTTGAACTATACTACTACAATCTACTACACTGTTTCTTGTTCGACTACGTTTCCTGTTGTTCCCATAGCGTTGTGGCACCCAAGTTCACGAAGCCCCCCATCCCTGAGTCTTGGGCACGGCTTCGCATCTCCTGAAGCCTCCAACAAGGCAATCTTTGGATGATGGGATGAAAGTGCTGAATAATGATAAGAAGAATAGCA